TTACAAATACAGAAAAATAGTGTTATTTTATTAGAACATGATATTATTTTACATAAGAAATTGTCAAGTACCTATCATGTTAACAAATTATAAGTATGAAATTGACAGTAGGCTGTTTATTTATTTTTCTCTAAAAAAATATTTGCCATTTAAAAATAGTATGCTAAGTAGCCTGCATGATTTGTGTAGGCTAAATTATGTCTTTACACATTACTTAATAGCTGACTTGTAAACTTTGAAAATTTTGTGCTGGACAAAGGTTTTGTGAATATGTCAGCCAATTGGTCCTCTGAGCAGCAGTACTTTAAGTCAAATAGTTTGGCGTGAAATTGTTCGCTCACAAAGTGAAATCTCACATCAATATGCTTACTCTTTCTGTTCATTTGACCTGATTTGATGAGTTTTATGGCACTTTGATTATCAACATTCAGGGTGGTTTTCACAGTTTTTTCGGTCAGTTCTGTGATTAGAGTCTTGATGTATTTTATTTCCTTGCAACATTCAGCTGCAGATATGTACTCAGCTTCAGCTGTTGATAGAGCAGTTATTGGTTGTTTTTTTGAACTCCATACAATTGGTGCACTTCCTAACAGCAGGACATATCCGCTTGTACTTTTTCTATCCTTTACATCTCCTGCGTAGTCTGAGTCACAGTACGCTTGAATACTTAGGTCTTTAGAACTTGTTGAAGGAAAAAATATTCCTTTGTTTTTTGTTCCTTTGAGGTATCTCAAAGTTCTCTTGATGTTTTGGACATCCTTTTTTCTCGGATTTTCGGTAGAGCGGCTTTCAAAATTAACTGCAAATGTCATGTCTGGTCTAGTTTTATTAGTCATGTAGAGAAGGCTTCCTATAGCTTCTCTATAAGGAAAGTTAGTTTTTCCATCTTCATCAACAATCTTAGTCTGTTCTTCTAAGGGAGTAGATACTGACTTACACTCTGTCATATTAAAGTTGTTGAGTACTTGATTTGCATAGTTTGTTTGACTGAGATAGATGCCTTCCTTTTTCCTGGTTATTTCCATTCCAATATACATATTTGGATTCTTGTTAATTGTCATCTCAAAATTAGTTCTGAGTTTTTCTAGCAGGTCTTTAAGTTTATTTTGATTTTTCGCCATTAAGATGCCGTCGTCAACATGAATAGCCAAATAAAGTTCATTTTTAATATCCTTGAACAGGCATTGATCGGTTTTGAGCTGTATTAGTCCTTCATCTTTCAGAAATGAGGTTAACTTCTTATTCCACTGACTTGGAGCTTGTTTTAAACCGTAGAGGGCTTTCTTGAGTTTGCAAATTTTCCCTTGTTCCTTAAATCCTTCTGGTATCTTCATATAAATATCATTCTCAATTTCCCCATACAGGAAAGCAGTCTTTACATCGAAGGTTTGGATATGTAAGTTTTCTTGAGCAGCTAGTGAGAAAAGAATTCTTAAAGAAGCACTTTCCACAACTGGACTGAAAGTATCTCTAAAGTCCAAATTTCCTTTCTTCTGTTCACAGCCTCGAACTACTAAACGGGCTTTATATGTCCCATCCTCTTTAATTTTAAACACCCATCTACTTGTTAGTATTTCATCATTTTCATTCAGTTGTTTTTCATCTATTATTTCCCAAGTCTCATTCTTCTCTAAGGATTGTTTTTCTTTCTTAATGGCCAATTCCCATTTTTCTTTATCGCTACTAGTCATACATTCATTGTACGTCAGCAGAACTTGGCCGTTTTCATATTCTTCTTCATATCTTGAAGGTCGTTTCATATTTATTCTTGGTCGCAGATTGTAGTGTCGTTCATTTTCAATTTCTTCATTTATATCAGGCCTTCCAATATTTTCTTCTTCTAGGTTTGCACCTAGTTGGTTTTCTTGATCTTCTCCTTGAGTTTCATGCATGCGTTCTTCTCTTTCTTCATCTTCTGCAGTTTGTGTACAATCTTCATCAGAAAAATTATTTTGCATCTGTTTTATTTTAATTTGTTCAGAGTTTGCATCTTTGAAAATCACATCTCTAGAGATAAATATTTTTCTTTTTTCAGGATCCCACAATCGATAGCCGTTCATTGCATATCCGACAAAAATAGCTTCTTTACTTCTTGCTTCCAATTTCTTTAAATAGCCTAAGACTTTTGCATAGGCTACTGTGCCAAATATTTGAAGTCTTGAAAGGTCAGGTTTTCTGTCGTACCATTTTTCAGCAGGTGTTGTATCTAGGTTAACAGTAGGGCTTCTATTAAGTAGGTATGCAGATGTTAAAATAGCCTCGCCCCACATTTCTTTATGTAGATTAGAGTCAAAGATCATCGCTCGAGCCTTTTCCATTAATGTGCGATTCATTCTTTCGGCTGTTCCGTTGAGCTGGGGTGAATAAGGTACTGTGTAGTCTATGACAATTCCTTTAGATTTGCAATACTCTTTCAGACCACTGGCAACATACTCACCACCATTGTCGCACCTTATTTTAGAAATTTTAAGATTGAAATGAGCTTCTGCTTCATTTACATATTCTTTTAGGTAGCTAAACACTTCACTTTTACTTTTTAATAGATACACCTTACAAAAATGAGAGAAATCATCAATAACAGTTAAAAAATACTTTTTACCATCGTGAGTCAAGGGTTCAATCGGACCGCAAAGATCAGAATGTATCAGTTTTAAAGGTCTAGAAGCTTTTACTCTAGATGTATTGAAAGGATTCCTTACTTGCTTAGATTTAATACAAATATCACAAAATTCATCTTCACACATATAAACATCAGTTGGAATGCCATTAGTAATTTTTGTCAACTTTTTCATATACGGAAAACTGATATGACCTAACTTTCTATGCCATTCTAAAGCTACTTCATTACGTGTAGTAGGGCTAGTGTTTGACTTTATGATTACCGGTACATTGGTTTGTTTTTGGATAGGTTTTACACTTTCTGTATCAAAAGGTTTAGGCCTACATTCATTTTGATCAAATTTGCTTAGGCCTACAGTAGCGACTTCATTTACACTTTCCGTTAACTGAACTACATACAAACCACTTTTATTTTTACACCCTTCTAAAATGATAGACTTATCTTTGAGAACTTGTACCTTGTTTTTTGTGAATAATACTTCGCCACCGTTTTCGGTAATTGCATTGACAGACATTAGGTTATTACTTAACTCTGGTACATAAGAAACATTTTTTAGTGTACATTGGTCAGAGTCAACATTTCCTACAGCAATTTGCTGCATGCTTTGATTTTTCTTTGCAACAGAAATACTTTTAGTACATGATTTTACATTTTCTAAAATAGAAATATCATTTGTCATGTGATTAGGGGTACAACCACTATCAATAATGAAAGATTTGGTATTAACGCTATCGCATAGGTTAACACAATCGCCTAGTTGTGTAGACTTGTTTGTTGGCAGATTTACATGACTCAGAAAAGATGTTTTACAGTCATCTTTAGGTTTAAATTTAGATTTGTTACGGAAAAAGCAATTCTTTTCAGAATGGTTAGTTTTCTTACATATATTGCATGCTTTAGGCTGCTTATTTTTCAAAAAACATTCACTTTCTACATGATTAGGTTTCTTACAGTATGAACAAAATTTTGATTTTAGGCCTACGTTAGGACAGTTTTGACGAATGTGTCCTGATTCCTTACAAGAATAACATGTTACAACTCTAGGCCTACCTTGAGATTTGGTTTTAAAAGCTACTTGCTCACAGTCACTCACGGTCTTCGCCTCTTCTTGCAACAGTCTAGCCTTCAGGTTCTCGAGGGTTTTCTCGGTTGCACTGGTAGAATCCCACGCACTGGAGAAATGTTTATATTGGTCTGGAAGGATACTCAGGATCTTTGTGAGTAGCATCGTGTCGTCCACTTTTTGGTCAAGTCTGTTAAGCTTAAAAGCAATGTTCTGTATGTAGGCTATGTTTGACATCATGTCCTTTTGAAGATCGAATTTGAAGTTGTAGAATTCTTGCAATAAAGAACACTTTTGCTGTGTCGTATCTCTTTGAAAAAGGCGTTTTAAAGTGTCGTACATTTGTTTGGAAGTGTCACAAGTGACTACATGCATTTTAACTGATTGGTCTATAGTCATTATTATGATGTGCTGTGCTTTTGCATCTAATGACTTCCAAGCCTTCTTTTTCTTATCATCTTCTTGATTATCCAAAGTTTCTGTTCCATCAACAATATCCCAGAGATTTTTGGACTTAAAAAGAATTTTAACCTCGAAGTCCCACATGGTGTACGATTCGACGTCCTTGAGTTTGCCGACATTGTTCAGTTCACTTTCACTCCCGGAACTCATGATAACTTTATTCCTCTTTTTCACAATGGTTTTAATGTTTTTATGGTTTTACTATATATCTGGCCCCATAACCTATTAGTTTTTAAAGGGTTTTTAAGTTTAGTTTTAAGGCAGTAATTAGGTTATAGTAAAACACCATTTTACTTGAGAAGATAGTCTCTATTTCTACTAGCAGAGTTGCCAACATTACAACAGTGAAAAAAAACATTTTTACATTACACAGAGATAACTATTACATAGGCCTAAATTGATAACATATAGCCTAACAATAGTTTATCCAACAGTCAAAGTGTTAGACAAACGGCACTCAAGAAAATCAACCAACCAGAACATCAATTGATAAGGACTAATAAAGCAATTTCCCCATTAGTGATCACTAGTTGAGTGACTCGTTTGGAAATGAAAGTGGCAACACTGCATGAAATGCAGATGACATAATTTTGAACAAAAAATTCTACTATTTCTATTATTCTGATGGTTATAGCCCCAATGGTCTCCCAACAAGTGAATTCTTGTTTATATTTATATGAAACCTTATGTTAAAAACATATTTCAGATACAATTTAGATATTACTTTTTGTTAGGGTTTATGATTAAAATTGGCATGAATACTGTGTATTTTATTAATTCCAGATGCAAGATTGCATTCCAAATTTTTTAAACAACCTTAAGTAAATAAGTAAAATCTGGTTTGTTTGGTAACAGGTATGTCCAGGCAGGCACTGGATTGGCTGACTACAGCTTCGTGGTACCTCTGAAGGGTTGCGGCAGTCGCCCTTCACTAGGCAAATGTTCCGGAGGCTCATGTGGTCTCGGCCACGCAATGGATAACGTGCTAGTCATACAGACAGACGAGTCTGTTCAGGTAAAGTAAAAACTTCCTTTCCTCCTTCTGGAAACTAACGATTTGGTATTAAGAATATATAGGTCCTGCATGAATTTGTTGTTACTTGTGGATTTAGAGATTAGAGATGGTACAATATTATAAAAACTAAGCATATGTAGGCCTACCTTTAAAATGACTCACAATTATTTTAAATCATGTTTTGGTTTTTAAGACAAAGCCTACAAGGGCTTCTTATTTCATAACATTATTAGTAAAATGTCTCCTTTTACACAGCTAGTCAATTTATTGTGTCACATTTGCTAACTGTTAGAAGGATTCATATAAGAAATTAAATAATGACAGCAGTGAAACAGCATATTATCTACATATTTATTAGATTATGAGGTGACTGAATTTCACTATCTATCCTTCAACCAATTATCCTGGTGTTGTTTGATAGATTTCAACCAAATTAACAAAAGTTTGACTTTTAGAGATGGATGTCTTCTCATAGTGAAAAACACCGCTACTGCCTATTACAAAGCATGCATCAAAGTAATGTTTATACATGTCATTATATAATTTTTAATCACCACCACTGATGCTAAATGGTTCAATATCAAAATAAATTTCAAATATTTAATTATAAAGACAAATTTGATCTGTAACAAACATTTAGCTAATGATGATTTCTTGACACAATATTTTACAGTCAATAATTATAAGACACATATGCTCATACATTGGTATTATGAGAGCTGAAGCATTATAAGCTTTGTCTAATCAATGGCCGAGCAGTCAAAGAAATTGTCTCCACCATGGATGAGGACAGTTCCATGAATTGAGGGTTTTAATCCTGCCCAAGTCAGGTCTGGTGTCCAACTCATGTACAACTCACCTATCTGTGCTAGGTGGAAGATGCTGGCCTAAAATATATTGAACTTTCTTGGTTTCACATTTCCTTATCTATTGATACAGCTCAAATTAGGATCATGTTGACATACATTTTCCATTTTCCTAATTTAAGCTGCATGTAAGATAAAAAAGGTTCAATATGCAGAATGTAGTTTTCTAACATAAATGGTGGACAGCTAGAGTAGAATTTAAGGGATTGATTAAAGGGGCAATTTAATACTTTTTACTCAATCTTACTAAATGTAAACCCACCAAAAACACATTTAAAATAATTTTTAATTTTGTTTTTGGTGACCTTAAAGCTGCATTTACACGAGCTAGTGGACAGGCAGATTACCTGCCTCTAGTGTATTTAAAGTTACCTGAGGTGGATAACCTGCCCAAAATGCGGCTCAAGGTGAGGGGAAATATCATAAAAAATAGGAATAAATAGATCAAGTAAAAGTATATAAGTTTCAGAGCTTTAAGGGATAGGTATGTAGCAGCTAGAATTTTATATAAGGAAATAAGTATTAAGTAATACAGTTGTTGATGTGTTAACAGCATCTGTATGAGTGATCCTATATATGTTTTGGTACAGGAAGTATGGGATCTGGCTCGCCGTATCTCATGCCCCAGCTCCGACAAGCTGAACCAGAAGACAGTCTACTTCCAGCCAATCACCGTCGACATGCTAGAGGTGGTGTCAGTGTCATCTGCCCTAGGAACCATTGACTGTTGGATGGATATTCAACGAGGAATTTACCCAAGTGTAAGTCAAAACAATTGATTACTTGAGCAATTGAAATATATTACTCTCATATCATAAGGATATTCAACGAGGAATTTACCCAAGTGTAAGTCAAAACAATTGATTACTTGAGCAATTGAAATATATTACTCTCATATCATAAGGATATTCAACGAGGAATTTACCCAAGTGTAAGTCAAAACAATTGATTACTTGAGCAATTGAAATATATTACTCTCATATCATAAGGATATTCAACGAGGAATTTACCCAAGTGTAAGTCAAAACAATTGATTACTTGAGCAATTGAAATATATTACTCTCATATCATAATACAGTACATGATAAATAAATGATGTACCCGTTTTCGGTTAATTCAATCCAAGGGTTGATCCAAGGGTTTTGACGGTTCCATCACAAAAAAAGTTATAAAACGCCAATGGTATTGAAACACATGTGCAAGTAGGATAATATATAAAACGGAGACTTGTGTAATGTTTCAGATATCTCCAATCAATGGCATAATCAAGATAGGAGAGACGCTGACAGTGTTGGTGTACATCAAGGACCCTGACCGCAACCTGGACCTGTTAGTGAGAGACTGCTGGGCTTACGACGCTGAGGACTACGAGAGTCCAGAGACTACAAGACTACAACTCACCGACAAGCAAGGCTGCCCCAAGTAAAACATCAAACTATAAATATACCTGTGGAGACACAAACTATAAGATGGGCCTATCAAGTTTTAGCGTCACTTTTAATTTATTGTTTGTATTAAACATGTTAAAATAATACATATTAGTGACACCCATTTTGAGAAAATTTTTAATTTGTTACACAAAAGGCTATGTGTAAGTTAGTACTGTATTTTCATTTTTTGTGCTGGTTATTAGAAATGCTTTACAGACTGATATGAAAACCAGCAAATTTTAAGCCAATTAACTACAGGGTGGCTGAAGTCTGTACCTAATTTTAAATGTTCATCACCAAAACCCTATATGGTTTTCGTAGCTCATATTGTCAGCTGATTGAAGCTAATTTGATGACATTGTTGGTTGTTAATATTGTAAACTGATAAGAAGCTTTTAAGTCTGCTATTATGGCTGGTGTTTTAAGTATTGAGGAAAGAATAAAAACTGTGTAGTGAGCTGACAGATCTTTCAGCTGACAGATGTTATAAATAATTGTATTAAATTTGGTTACTAAGAAGAGATGAATAAACAAGGATCAGATATTTTTAGGCTTTCTAACAAAAAGTGGTTCAATTTATTTCCACTGAACAATTGATTGTTACCTTTAAAAAGTATGATAAATTAAAACAATCATATTTAGTGGAAATCTTTAGACCTTTATTTTAGGTATTTCTCCTGATATAAATTAGGAATGATGAATGGCGACCATGTGGCGAATACCGAGCATTGAATGCCCGCACTATTACAGATTCATATCCTGTTCGACATATCCATGACTTCTCAAATAGTTTACACGGTGATAGATCTTATAAAGACATATATGCAAATCCCAATTAACGACCCCATTTGGTCTCTTTGAGTTCCCATTCATGTCTTTCAGGTTGAGGAATGCTGGTCAAACTTTTCAAAGATTTATTGATGAAGTATAGAGGGACTCAGTTTTTGTTTCCCCTACATTGATGATATGTTCAAGAGATTAGTCAAATATGGCGTTCTTATAAATGTGAAGATATCTGAATTTAACACTGACTTAGTACTTTTTTGGGGTTATCAAGTCACCGCTGACGGAACCAGGCCGGTCCCTGATCGCATTGAAGCCCTTCAGAATTATTCTTTGCCACAAACTGTGAAAGGTCTTCGATTTTTGGGGATGTTGAACTTTTACCGTATGTTCATTCCTCGCGCTGCAGAATTTCAAGCCCCTCTCCACACTGTCCTTTCCCCATTAAAAGAGAATCAGAAAGTCTCTTGGACCGATGTATTAATTGAAATTATAGAATATATATTCTGGCCACACTTTATGTACTTTAATTGTTTTTCAGGTTATTGCAAACATAACAGACACAAAATATTGGTAAATGTGAGTTCTTTGTATGTGATTTTAGCTAAATACCTAACAACTTTTTATGTGTTTGATAGAAAGAAGAAGTTGATCCACTACTGGACCTCCACTACCAACACAGGTACCTCGGGAGCCACAGTCCTCGCCCACAACAACATGACTGCATTCAAGTTCCCAGACAAGCAGCAAGTCTTTCTCACATGCAATATTGAGGTAGGTAGGCCTAATAGTAAACTTTCCAATATACATTTTGTGTTTATAAGTAGGAAAGAAGGGCTGGGTAAAATAGTAGGAATGTTGTATCCAAAAACTGAACATGCTGGGAAATGTATTTAATCTATATGCTTAGTGCAGGTTTGCTGCGGCAGGGGTATTTAATTTGATAATGGCTCTTTGTAGAGAAAACTTTGGTATATAGACTAATTACGCAAAGATCTATTAAAAAAACTACATTTACTATAGTATTTAGTTTCAAAATAATGGACATTTAAAACTGTTTGGTTTAGAATTTTTTTTTAAATTCTAACGATACCAAGAATACAAAAAAAGTGGCTAGTAAATAATTAAGGGAGAAAACATTTTTAAGATACTGTGAGCTAAACTACGTTTATTTAGCTGTCATTCAGGAAAATCACTGTTAGTTAGCTTAATCAATCAGCTGTTTGAATTGTTGGTTACCCATTGAACTATTGTTAACAAAGTAGTTTCTTTTTACAAAAGAGAACCATTTTAAAATTAAAAATAGTTAGTATAAAAAATAGCGGATGTACAAGTAATTGCAGAGTTTTGGAAATTTTAAATTGATATTTTAGTTAGTTTTTGGTCCAGAAACCATTTACTTTAAACTTTAAACGTGTGCAGAGAGTTTGGGGACACTCCATACATGTTATAGGTGGCATGAAAAAAAAAACACATTCTACAAAGTTAACCTATTGTGTTTACCATATATATAATATAAACAGAGTAACCAACTCTTTACCCACAGTTAAAATTTAGGTTTCTGGACCAAAAAAAACCTAAAATATCAATTTATAATATCCAAAACTCATCAATTACCTGAGTACAGCCGCCATTTTTACAACTATTTTTAAAGAGTTAGTATTAAAAGTTAGTTTTCTGCTAATTGAATATTGATTTTATTTATTTTCAGCTATGCCCAGGAAAATGTGAAGGAGGATGTGGGCAGAGGACTGAAATCGTTCCAGTAACAATGAAGGTTCCACCACAATGCTACCCTGGATCACAGGATCCTAGATGTCCAAAACCACCGCCTACAAGACCACCAACTCAGCCACCACCACAATGTTATCCAGGATCTCAGGATCCTAGATGTCCAAAACCACCACCTACAAGACCTCCAACTCAGCCACCACCACAATGTTATCCAGGATCTCAGGATCCTAGATGTCCCAAACCACCACCTACAAGACCACCTACAAGACCACCAACTCAACCACCACCACAATGTTATCCAGGATCTCAGGATCCTAGATGTCCAAAACCACCACCTACAAGACCTCCAACTCAGCCACCGCCACAATGTTATCCAGGATCTCAGGATCCAAGATGTCCAAAACCACCACCTACACAACCGCCAACTCAGCCACCACCACAATGCTACCCAGGATCTCAGGATCCTAGATGTCCAAAACCACCACCTACAAGACCTCCAACTCAGCCACCACCTCAATGTTATCCAGGATCTCAGGATCCTAGATGTCCAAAACCACCACCTACAAGGCCTCCAACTCAGCCACCACCACAATGTTATCCAGGATCTCAGGATCCAAGATGTCCAAAGCCACCACCTACACAACCGCCAACTCAGCCACCACCACAATGCTACCCAGGATCTCAGGATCCTAGATGTCCAAAACCACCACCTACAAGGCCTCCAACTCAGCCACCACCACAATGTTATCCAGGATCTCAGGATCCAAGATGTCCAAAGCCACCACCTACACAACCGCCAACTCAGCCACCACCTCAATGTTATCCAGGATCTCAGGATCCTAGATGTCCAAAACCACCTCCTACAAGGCCTCCAACTCAGCCACCACCACAATGTTATCCAGGATCTCAGGATCCTAGATGTCCAAAACCACCACCTACACAACCACCAACTCAACCGCCACCACAATGTTACCCTGGATCTCAGGACCCTAGATGTCCAAAACCACCACCTACAAGACCTCCAACTCAGCCACCACCACAATGTTACCCTGGATCTCAGGATCCTAGATGTCCAAAACCACCACCTACACAACCACCAACTCAACCGCCACCACAATGTTACCCTGGATCTCAGGATCCTAGGTGTCCAAAACCACCACCTACAAGACCTCCAACTCAGCCACCACCACAATGTTACCCTGGATCTCAGGATCCTAGATGCCCAAAACCTTCACTACCACCTACAACTCCAAAACCAATCTCCCCATTCCAATGCTATCCAGGGTCCTTAGACCCTCGTTGCCCAACTCCACCACCCACATTTAGTACTCGACCACCAGCCACGTACCTACCACCTGCTCCGAAGCCAACAACTCCTCAACCACAACCCACACAACCACCTACTCAACCACCACCACAATGTTATCCAGGATCTCAGGATCCTAGATGTCCAAAACCACCACCTACAAGACCACCAACTCAACCACCACCACAATGTTATCCAGGATCTCAGGATCCTAGATGTCCAAAACCACCACCTACAAGACCTCCAACTCAACCACCACCACAATGTTATCCAGGATCACAAGATCCTAGATGTCCAAAACCACCACCTACAAGACCTCCAACTCAACCACCACCACAATGTTATCCAGGATCACAAGATCCTAGATGTCCAAGGCCAACTCCCAGTACAACACCTCGACCGCCATCACCATTTCAGTGCTATCCAGGATCAAACGATCCGAGATGTCCAAAACCACCAACTCAGCCACCACCACAATGCTACCCCGGATCTCAGGATCCTAGATGTCCAAAACCACCACCTACAAGACCTCCAACTCAACCACCACCACAATGTTACCCAGGATCACAAGATCCTAGATGTCCAAAACCACCACCTACAAGACCTCCAACTCAACCACCACCACAATGTTACCCAGGATCCCAAGATCCTAGATGTCCAAAACCACCACCTACAAGACCTCCAACTCAACCCCCACCACAATGTTATCCAGGATCACAAGATCCTAGATGTCCAAGGCCAACTCCCACTACAACACCTCGACCGCCATCACCATTTCAGTGCTATCCAGGATCAAACGATCCGAGATGTCCAAAACCACCAACTCAGCCACCACCACAATGCTACCCCGGATCACAAGATCCTAGATGTCCAAAAACACCACCTACAAGACCACCAACTCAACCACCACCACAATGCTACCCAGGATCACAAGATCCTAGATGTCCAAAACCAACACTTCCTCCAACAACGCCGAGACCAACTACACCATTTCAATGCTATCCTGGATCGAGAGATCCCAGATGTCCTACACCTCCTCCCACATTCAGCACTAGACCACCAGCCACCTACCTTCCACCATCTACAACAGTGATACCTAAACCAACATCTCCTCCTCAGTGTTACACAGGGTCAAATGATCCTAGATGTCCAAGGCCGACTCCCACTACAACACCTCGACCACCGCCACCATTTCAGTGCTATCCAGGATCAAATGATCCAAGATGTCCAAAACCACCTACTCAGCCACCGCCACAATGCTACCCTGGATCACAAGATCCCAGATGTCCAAAACCACCACCTACGAGACCACCAACTCAGCCACCACCACAATGTTACCCAGGATCACAAGATCCCAGATGTCCAAAACCACCACCTACACAACCACCAACTCAACCACCACCACAATGCTACCCAGGATCTCAGGATCCAAGATGTCCAAAACCACCACCTACAAGACCTCCAACTCAACCACCACCACAATGTTACCCAGGATCACAAGATCCTAGATGTCCAAAACCACCACCTACACAACCGCCAACTCAGCCACCACCGAAATGCTACCCAGGATCTCAGGATCCAAGATGTCCAAAACCACCACCTACAAGACCTCCAACTCAACCACCACCACAATGTTATCCAGGATCACAAGATCCTAGATGTCCAAAACCACCACCTACAAGACCTCCAACTCAACCACCACCACAATGTTATCCAGGATCACAAGATCCTAGATGTCCAAGGCCAACTCCCAGTACAACACCTCGACCGCCATCACCATTTCAGTGCTATCCAGGATCAAACGATCCGAGATGTCCAAAACCACCAACTCAGCCACCACCACAATGCTACCCCGGATCTCAGGATCCTAGATGTCCAAAACCACCACCTACAAGACCTCCAACTCAACCACCACCACAATGTTACCCAGGATCACAAGATCCTAGATGTCCAAAACCACCACCTACAAGACCTCCAACTCAACCACCACCACAATGTTACCCAGGATCCCAAGATCCTAGATGTCCAAAACCACCACCTACAAGACCTCCAACTCAACCCCCACCACAATGTTATCCAGGATCACAAGATCCTAGATGTCCAAGGCCAACTCCCACTACAACACCTCGACCGCCATCACCATTTCAGTGCTATCCAGGATCAAACGATCCGAGATGTCCAAAACCACCAACTCAGCCACCACCACAATGCTACCCCGGATCACAAGATCCTAGATGTCCAAAAACACCACCTACAAGACCACCAACTCAACCACCACCACAATGCTACCCAGGATCACAAGATCCTAGATGTCCAAAACCAACACTTCCTCCAACAACGCCGAGACCAACTACACCATTTCAATGCTATCCTGGATCGAGAGATCCCAGATGTCCTACACCTCCTCCCACATTCAGCACTAGACCACCAGCCACCTACCTTCCACCATCTACAACAGTGATACCTAAACCAACATCTCCTCCTCAGTGTTACACAGGGTCAAATGATCCTAGATGTCCAAGGCCGACTCCCACTACAACACCTCGACCACCGCCACCATTTCAGTGCTATCCAGGATCAAATGATCCAAGATGTCCAAAACCACCTACTCAGCCACCGCCACAATGCTACCCTGGATCACAAGATCCCAGATGTCCAAAACCACCACCTACGAGACCACCAACTCAGCCACCACCACAATGTTACCCAGGATCACAAGATCCCAGATGTCCAAAACCACCACCTACACAACCACCAACTCAACCACCACCACAATGCTACCCAGGATCTCAGGATCCAAGATGTCCAAAACCACCACCTACAAGACCTCCAACTCAACCACCACCACAATGTTACCCAGGATCACAAGATCCTAGATGTCCAAAACCACCACCTACACAACCGCCAACTCAGCCACCACCGAAATGCTACCCAGGATCTCAGGATCCAAGATGTCCAAAACCACCACCTACAAGACCTCCAACTCAACCACCACCACAATGTTACCCAGGATCACAAGATCCTAGATGTCCAAAACCACCACCCACAAGACCACCAACTCAACCACCACCACAATGCTACCCAGGATCACAAGATCCTAGATGTCCAAAACCACCACCTACAAGACCACCAACTCAACCACCACCACAATGCTACCCAGGATCACAAGATCCTAGATGTCCAAAACCACCACCTACAAGACCACCAACTCAACCACCACCACAATGCTACCCAGGATCACAAGATCCTAGATGTCCAAAACCAACACTTCCTCCAACAACGCCGAGACCAACTACACCATTTCAATGCTATCCTGGATCGAGAGATCCCAGATGTCCTTCACCTCCTCCCACATTCAGCACTAGACCACCAGCCACCTACCTTCCACCGTCTACAACACTGATACCTAAACCAACATCTCCTCCTCAGTGTTACCCAGGGTCAAATGATCCTAGATGTCCTAGGCCAACTCCCACTACAACACCTCGACCACCACCACCATTTCAGTGCTATCCAGGATCGTATGATCCAAGATGTCCAAAACCACCAACTCAGCCACCACCACAATGCTACCCCGGATCTCAGGATCCTAGATGTCCAAAACCACCACCTACAAGACCACCAACTCAGCCACCACCACAATGTTATCCTGGATCTCAAGATCCAAGGTGTCCAAAACCAACACTTCCTCCAACAACGCCGAGACCAACCAGCCCATTTCAATGCTATCCCGGATCAACAGACCCAAGATGTCCTAGACCACCTACCACTCCTCGGCCACCCCCACCACCTTCAACACCCCAATGCTATCCCGGATCAACAGACCCAAGATGTCCTAAACCGCCTACCACTCCACGGCCACCCCCACCACCTCAATGCTACCCTGGATCAACTGATCCAAGATGTCCAAGACCGCCTTCCACTCCTCAGCCACCACCACCCCCTTCACCACCCCAATGCTATCCTGGATCAACAGACCCAAGATGTCCTAGACCACCTACAACTCCTCGGCCACCTCCACCACCTTCACCACCCCAATGCTATCCAGGATCAACAGACCCAAGATGTCCAAGACCACCTTCCACTCCTCGGCCACCCCCACCACCTTCACCACCCCAATGCTATCCTGGATCAACAGACCCAAGATGTCCAAGACCACCGTCCACTCCTCGGCCACCCCCACCACCTTCACCACCCCAATGCTATCCAGGATCAACTGATCCAAGATGTCCTAGGCCACCTTCCACTCCTCGGCCACCCCCACCACCTCAATGTTATCCTGGATCAGCTGATCCAAGGTGCCCAAAACCAACAACACCACGACCGTTACCTCCTTTCCAATGCTACTCTGGCTCCACTGATCCGAGATGTCCTCAAACCACATCTCCTTCACCATGTTTCCCCGGTTCCAAAGATCCACGCTGTCCTACACCTCCGCCCTCAAGTACAAGGCCTCCATCAACATATTTACCACCAGCACCAAAACCTTCAACCACCCCAACTCCATTACCACCCCAATGTTACCTAGGATCACAAGATCCGAGATGCCCAAAACCAACACTTCCTCCAACAACACCGAGACCAACAACCCCATTTCAATGCTATCCTGGATCAACAGACCCAAGATGTCCTAGACCGCCTACCACTCCTCGTCCAACCCCACCACCTTCACCACCTCAATGCTATCCTGGGTCAACTGATCCACGATGTCCAAGACCACCTTCCACTCCTCGGCCACCCCCACCACCTTCACCACCCCAATGCTATCCTGGGTCAACAGACCCAAGATGTCCTAGACCACCTTCCACTCCTCGGCCTCCCCCACCACCTTCACCACCCCAATGCTATCCTGGATCAACTGATCCAAGATGTCCAAGACCACCTTCCACTCCTCGGCCACCCCCACCACCTTCACCACCCCAATGCTATCCTGGATCAACAGACCCAAGATGTCCAAGACCACCTTCCACTCCTCGGCCACCCCCACCACCTTCACAACCCCAATGCTATCCTGGATCAACTGATCCAAGATGTCCAAGACCACCTTCCACTCCTCGGCCACCCCCACCACCTTCACCACCCCAATGCTATCCTGGATCAACAGACCCAAGATGTCCAAGACCACCTTCCACGCCTCGGCCACCCCTACTACCTTCACCACCTCAATGCTATCCTGGATCAACTGATCCAAGATGTCCAAGACCACCTTCCACTCCTCGGCCACCCCCACCACCTTCACCACCCCAATGCTATCCTGGATCAACAGACCCAAGATGTCCAAAACCACCTTCTACTCCTCGGCCACCCCCACCACCTTCACCACCCCAATGCTATCCTGGATCGACAGACCCAAGATGTCCAAGACCACCTTCCACTCCTCGGCCTCCCCCACCACCTTCACCACCCCAATGCTATCCTGGATCGACAGACCCAAGATGTCCAAGACCACCTTCCACTCCTCGGCCTCCCCCACCACCTTCACCACCCCAATGCTATCCTGGATCAACAGACCCAAGATGTCCAAGACCACCTTCCACTCCTCAACCACCCCCACCACCTCAATGCTATCCTGGATCAACTGACCCAAGATGTCCTAGACCACCTTCCACTGCTCGGCCACCCCCACCACCACCCCCGCCTCAATGTTATCCTGGATCAACTGATCCAAGATGTCCAAGACCACCTTCCACTCCTCAACCACCTTCACCACCTCAATGTTATCCTGGATCAACAGACCCAAGATGTCCTAGACCACCTACAACTCCTCGGCCACCCCCACCACCTTCACCACCCCAATGCTATCCTGGATCAACTGACCCTAGATGTCCTAGACCACCTTCCACTCCTCAACCACCCCCACCACCCCAATGTTATCCTGGATCTACTGATGCAAGATGTCCAAGACCACCTTCCACTCCTCGGCCACCCCCACCACCTTCACCACCCCAATGCTATCCTGGATCAACTGACCCTAGATGTCCAAGACCACCATCCACTCCTCAACCACCCCCACCACCTCAATGCTATCCTGGATCAACAGATCCTAGGTGCCCTCCAATTCAGCCAACATACATACCTCCAACTCAAACCCCATTTGTATGCACTTGTAATGGTACAACCGCACGTCCAATTGTACCTCCACTCTGTTATCCTGGTTCAACTGACCCTCGCTGCTTTGACCAACCTCAGTGTTATCCTGGATCTCCAGACCCAAGATGTCAACCTCCTAACTGTTTCCATGGGTCATCTGATCCCAGATGTCCGACAAGCCCAATCGTAACATATCCACCACAAATTTCTAATCCTTCTGTTCAACCTCCTTCCTATCCAACTCCCCAACCACCCTCCACAGTGTATCCGAGTCCCTCTTCATACCCAACTCCATTACCACCCTCACCACAACCGCCGGTCATTGGATATCCTAGACCTACAATACCTAATCCTACATTTTTACCATCATCTACACCTTCATCTTGTTATCCAGGTTCTCCAGATCCAAATTGTGAGCAACCATTCCGACCTTCATCAACTAAAGTACCATCAACTTACCTTCCTCCACCTGGGTGTATCCCTGGAAGTAATGATCCCAATTGCAATGAAATTCCACCAGACCAGTCACAGAGTGTTCTTACTGGAGTGAAACCTCCTTGCTTACCAGGATCAAAGGACGTGAGATGTCTCACTAAAACAACAACACAAGAAATTGATGGTTCAGACTTGTCACCAGATTCAATTAATTCTGTAGCTGTTGGTTCTACTACAATATCCACACGAGAAGATCAAGACTTCCATAGCAAGGATGCTGATCCAAGATATCATGCATTTCATAGATGTAAGTAATATTATCCTCTTACTAGCCAATTGTTCCAAAAAGAATATTTTCGCTACAATACTATGAAATCCCCTGTTTTTGTTATATGTTTATCACCTACAAAAATTCATCATTACATTGTTTATTGCGGGAATATAGGTAAGGTTTACAATAGTAAAAATTATACCAAAAGAGAAAAACAGAGATTTGAAAAAGAGAGTGAACATTTTTTTTATACAAAAGTAAAGTTCACCCTCTTTTTTGGATTTTGCCAACACAAACCAACAAATATTATTTATTGATTCACAAAAGTAATGTCACTCTCTTTTTTTGAATACAAAAGTAATGTTCACTCTCTTTTTTTGGAATTTGCCAACATAAACAAACAAACATTATTCATTGATTCATAAACTGTTTAGTTTTTAAATGTTCCTAACTGTAATAAATGAATATTCCAATCAATATTTTTATTTTAAAAATATTAGTCTTTCTAGTGTAGTGGAAAAAACAAAATTGGGTGAAGTGGGCATTACATATTCTTGGCCATATTTAAAACGCTCGATGACCTACTTTCTACTCTGGTAATGAAATAAAACTTTGAGAAAGAAATAGACAGTTCTCTACCAGTCAACAAGTATTTTTATAAGCTAGGCCCAATAGGACATTTTTAGCCTTACAAAAACAATTTATTATAAACACTATAGCATAGCTTTTTGCTCTTCTGGCCACAACACTTTGTCATCCTAATTTCATTCAAAGTTCTTTTCATTGAGGTAATTAAAAAAGGACATACTGAGGTACCTGGAAAGAACGCTGCTTTCAATGAAGCCAGTGCTGTAATGTATCTACATCACAGGAAGGAGTGTTTTCACTGATCTCTGATATTGCACAAGGTCATAGTTTTTTTTACAAATTGCTACTGATTAGAAACAGTAACATATTACATTGACAACACAAGTTATACAGTCTTACATAATTACTCAGCCAAGGTCCTTCTCTGTCCAGACTGATTTATTTGACACAACAGTTTAATATACCTATCCAATTTAATGCTATCATCTTACTCCGCTGTTGACTACACAGCTTGCATACCAACAACCTGCCTACACCAATTTCCGTCTACTGTTAACCACTGATCTTCTCTTCTAAGCATCTGTTCTGGAAAATACAATCTACTAATTCTTAAGAGTGCTAAAATGTTAGGGTCCCCATATTAATACCTGTGCTAAAGATTTTTTATCATCCCCGTTTTTTTTTTTTTTATTTATCGAAAAACAACAGCTTAACTTTTTAGATGCCTTAACTTTCATCCTATTCTTTTAAAATGTGTTCCATAAGTTCCATAATGTCAATTAATTGTATATAATAATGTTATATGTCTGTGGTATTGTTCTTCCTGTGAGATAATAGGTTACCAAATATTTTAGTACACCAATGTCAGTAGACTCCATCATTTATGGCTATATTTTTGTCTAATTTTTTGTTTGAAATGTTTACTTTTTTGTAAGAATCTCTTTTATTTTCCCTTAATAACTCTATGCACTCCTGTAACGTAAAACAATCAATGTTACAGTCTTGTATGAACCGTTGAAGCCCCGAAGGAGGAACTACGGCAAGAGGGATGTATCTCAGATGCTGCTAGATACCCCGCTAGCCTCCAGTCACTCTAATACTACTATCGTCATGATGGGACTTGCAATCACTCTCTCTGTCCTGTCCCTAGCGATGGTCTCATGGCATCTGATGAGAAGAAGAACAACAACAGAGAGAATAGTGGAAACTTCTCCTCAGCCATTAGTTTCATGAATATTTTATTTTGTTGGCTCATTGTGATTTTAATTGAGACATTTTAAGATATCAGATATATTATACATACAGCACATTTCTTTCTATTCCAAAATAATAACACTTTTTTAAGGGCATTGGAATTTGTATCAAAAAGCATACTTTGTTGCATGAGTTTTGATGTTGTGATTGCTCTTGACAGTAAACAAATATAAACTATTTCAATTGAAGGTACTCTTGATTAAATATCTCAATACAATGTGATTTAATTTATTTGAGTTCTTACTTTATAAACTAACTTGACTTTGTAGTAATGTCTGTATAATAGTTTTTTTCCTTGAAAAGAATATACTGTACATTGAATCTTATTTATAACATTTAAGAGCCTGAAGAATTAAAATAAATTTACCACAACTAAAATTGTGTTAGTGCCATATGAAAAAGGGTTTTTAAACTAAGAATTTGTGAAAATGTCTTCTCATTGAAATTGTGATGATGCTGACGAGTATTGTCACTTGCAGATGTTTTGTCAAGTAAACTGACTGACACTCGCTACAGTGTGTCAAAACATTTGCGAGTTAAACGACATTTTTGTATTGATATTAGACTAAGTTATTTTGTACATTGTGTGATTTGTAATTAAAGACATATAAAAGGCATTGTTTTCTTCTTATTACAATTGATAAAAAAATCAACAAGCTAAAGTAGTCTAGGCAAATTGGATCAAAAATATGCTGTGCTCCCCGAACAATCGTTTAAAGCTGGAAAGTGATTAACATCATCATACATAACCTTTAGGGAGTCCTAAATAAGAGTCCTGTGAGTCTGTGTCCGATTCTGACGTCTGCTTAAGTTTTGGTATAACAAAAAACTACAAAAATTGTATGCGCCGACTGGTGTTAAATATGTTAATATTGGCTGAGCCGTTAGCCGAGTTCCCTCAAGTCCATTAGCTCACGAGTTATTGCAGATGATAGCAACAACTGCTACAAAGCACATGAATAGGGGTCAGCTAGCATGAAAACCATTGCACTGAAAAACTGTCCATGAAAACTGTGCATAAAAAACTAAATAGTGACTTAACAAGCTGTGAAGGCAACAGTAATAAAGATCAAAGAAGAATCTGCCCTCAGCACACCATGTTCCGCCACATTCAATTCCACATTAAATCCAAGCCTCAGCTTGAACCATACTATGGATGGTTAAATAGCTTTGTATCCACTGGCATTAATTGATGACGAGAGAATAACGTGGGAGAGCAGAAAACCTTTACTGTTCACTCCGATCAAAGTGGATCTCACTGTTTTCTAACGGGGTTACATCTCCTGACCAAGTCGCAGAAGCAGGCATTACCTTAATAAGAACCTTGTACATGGGTATATAAGTAGCAAATCTCTGTCAAGTGAGGATTGAACACTTCCAGAGGTCACTTTAAAAAACTAATTTTGACTTGGTGACTTAACTCTTACAGAAGGGGCTGCTAGCCAATAGCCAATACTCATTCAGAGCTCATTTACAGGTGCAGATTTAGACTCAACTCAACTAACTATCGAACACATGTAAAAAAGAAAAAGGTTGTACGTTATCTTGCTTCTGTTGAAATGCAGGGATAGAATGTATTACTGTCTGCTTAAATTTGCATTGTTGTCTTAATTCCATGTCTATCGGATGTCACCCTTTGTGACAAAGAAAAGCAAGAAAGGAATCTTCATTCTTAACATTCAGGTGATGAGAAGTTAGATGATGTGTTCGGTGAAGATCGACCCCCTTCTCCCAAAATACGAATGAAATCAAAGACCATGTACAACACTGTCTCATTATGACCTTTCGTTTATCAAACTAATACATTTTTGTTACATTGAATTACATATTTTTTATTGTAATGTCTTATTATATGTTGGAATCGCATAACATCATTTTGGAGTGTCCAGGGATTTTTCAAATAAAAGGGAAGTTGGGACAAAACCTAGAACCTCTGGAACCCCTATAAGACAATATTAGACTTAAAATTACATAGAGGGTGTTGCTCTCTTTAATCCATCTTGGTTAAATCTCTGGATGATCACCATGGAATAAACCACAGTTGAATACAATTAATAAATTTTATGTAATCCATTTAAAGAGCAGAATAAACAATTTGGCCAAGTGAAAAGCATCTACGCAAAATGTTATGTTCTTCAAACTACATACAGGTACATTTTTCAGTAGCATGCTGTGTTTAGGAGTTGTAAGCCGTAAACTGAACAAAGAATCAACTTTTTAGTCATGTTGGTGAAATAGCCCAAATTTGAAAAGCTTCTGAGGCTAAATGGCCCAGCCAATTTTAACATATTTAACACCAGTAGACGTATAATTTACTGTGCTTAAAGAAACAACTGAACAGAAATTTCTGTTGGATGCGTTGTTTAAGAGTTATAAGTCAAATCTGAAAAAAATTGTCATAGTTTTTGACTCCCAAAACTTTAGCAGACGTCATAATCCATCGCAAACTCATAGGACTCTTATTTAGGACCCCCTAAAGGTATTAAGACACTTTACAGCTTTAGACGAGTTTTAGGGTAGCGTATGTCTAATTTTCTTGGGCTAAAGGGCTTGTTAAATTTGTAATAAAACTTTAACTTAACATTGTATGTGGTTGTTTTGACAGACTTTACGATTTCCCTTTTCACAGAAAATGTGCAGAGTTCATACATTTTTATGGTTGCACTGAACAGATCTATACTAACTATAAAATGGCTTCTGAACATGAATGAACTGTTCAAACAAAGAAAATATAATGGTTTATAAAGTAAAATACTAAATTTGTTGATTTTTAAAGGGTTATTTATTGTTAAAGAAATAAACCATGGCGCCTTTCATAGAAGTTAATAACATTATACTAATCATCACCAATGGGTTGTTTCTTTGACTGAGGAGAATCCAAAATCACAGTGACTGGTCCATCGTTGTTGATACTTACAACACATGTCGCCCCAAACCGTCCCTCTAAAAAAAAAAAACAGAAATAATTTTAACTGCCGTGCACGTGTAGAACCCTTCATATCCAACCACCACACAGAACTAATCCCCTAGCCATAAAAAGATTTGACAAAAAAAACTAACCTATTAAAAAATTACCTAATTCATTACCTAATATTGTATGTACAATTAATAAATCTAATCAATCAAACAAAACCCATGTCTTTGGAAAAATGATGGAATAAAAATTAAATTAACATATTATAAATTCATATATATGTCAAATAAATTAATGTTAGTCCGTTAATAAAATTTAGGCGGTTTAAGGGGGAATTTTTCTGGGTTTCCCCACCACTTTTATTGCTTCATGTACTTTAAATAGCTAATTTACTGTGTGAATAAATGTTTGTTTATATTTACTTAGTTGTGTTTACTGTTTGCATTTTGCTTAATAATATTAATCAGAATTTATTGATTAAAATGTCACATAAAGCCCCATCAAGTGATACCTCATTTTAAAGGCCAAAACTAGGACCCTATCTCAACCCAATACAAAATGATAAGCCTAATGAGTTGAAATTGGTATTGACCCCTAGATTTTATCGACTCCTTCTAAACACTATGAATTAAATTCATAGGGGTAGTATTCTTAGACTGTATATTAAATACAAACCCCCCCCCCTGGAATTCACATCAAACCATTATTATGGTTTTTTTTCGCAAGTTTACCTTTGACTTTGTCTGGAAGGTACTGCTGACGCATCTTGTCAAGGAACTGTTGGTAGAGAGGCTGAGAGTGAGATGGAGACATGGCATTATGAAAGTCCATCTTGTTGCCCTTCAAGGAGGTGTACAACGTGATTTGGCTGAGACAGAGAACTTCCAGCCCTTGGTCGACCACATTGGAGGCCCACTTGCGCTCATCATCTCCAAACAGGCGAATGTTTAACACCTTCCTTACACTAAACATTAAGCAATTTTGTGTATTACAGTTCATTCAAATACCTCTGTCACAGGAAACATGAGAGTTATATTAATTTACACTTCCTATGGATGCAGTAGATACTATTATAACAGAGTTTCTAAAAGGCTTTTAACATTTTATAATCAGTAAGCAAAGGATGGAAATTTAATGTACTGGTATAGTAGGTTTACTTAGTTTATTTACCCTAACATTCCAAGTTAATTTGATGTGTGAATAAATATAGGCTACAGGTAATTTTTTTTCCTAAAAGTGGAGAAAGTTGGTTTGGATAAGCCCTGATGGAAACCCTCTCCCAAGGTTACCTAAGGCTGAATCAAAGACTTGTTTGAACTTTTTTTTACAAATTACTTACCGGTAATACTAACATTTTACCTAGAGGGAAGAATGATTACGTTATTTAGATTAGGTAGTTATTTTGTCAATTGAAGACACCTGTAGGCTAGTATGTATTCAACATTTTAAATGGTAATAACAATTCTAGATTTGAAAATGTACACTAAACTGAATTTTTGGCATTTGTGACATCCATAACAAAATACAGTTGTCCCAGACCTAACCCTTACCATGAAGATACAGTATTGGCTATAAAGGGATCACTAAAATAAAAAAATGTGATAGTTTGTTGAGTCATCAAACTCACAGTATGAAGACAAGTTTTTAACTTGCAGAAATTTTACTGTATATTCAGAGATTTTGTTACTTGCAATAACAAAAATCACAAGCTCAATGCTTTCATTGTTACCTGGTCTTTTTACTGCTGTTTGCCAAATTGCAGTCCCTCTTGGCTACAACGTAATTTGGTCTGAAAATGCTTTCTCATAAAACAGACTAGTCAAAGACTCATTTAGATCTTGTTACTTTTTATGGCAATATTTACAAAGGTATATAATGATTGAAAGTCCATCCGAACTGTCATTTGTTGATCATTAGACTTTAAACTAATTAACAGTACCTTTAGAACTACTTACAGATAATCAATTTCTTTTTCAGTATCTTCTTTTGAAATTCCGACCAGAACACAGAGGCCTCTTCCAATGGAAGAAATCACTTCTTCACCAACTAAACCAAATAAAAAATCTATTAATTTGATTTGTATAGAATACCTTACATTTGATTTGGTAACTTATCTACATTAAAAAAGAGCCTGAGTTGATTTAACTATTTGCTAAAACTATACAATGGTTCAAATGGAAGATAGGCTACCAAACTTAAAATGAAAATTCCCTTCGTAGAGGCAAATCCTAGAAAAGAAAAATGGATAAACACTATAAAACCTAGAAAATCTTAGGCTCCTCTACAAAAACTCTCCAACTGTAAGTAAATCTGACTAACAACACACTGTGTATAGGCCTAACATACTAATCATTAGGCAATACCTCCAATAACACAGACTAAGTCTGAGAGAAAATTAACTAAGTTTAAGTTAAAGTTACAATCCCAAAAGTGCAATACAGTAGACTCTCTCTTATCTGGATACCTTTTAACCGGACTACACTCGGCGGAAATGACATCTGTTTAACCGGACAATTTTTATCAGCACATTGGTTTAACCGGACTAGATCGGCAGGAAGTGGGCAGTACTGAAACGACTGTTCTCGTGGGAAAGATTTGAGACCAGTGATCACGTGTCTAAATACAATGCTCTCCTAAATTTAAGTCGAATATCACAGTAAACAGTCCGTTTTAATGAGTTTTTGGGGACGTCGGTTTAACCGGAAAACCCGTTATCCGGACTGGCCTCGGTCCCGAGGAGTCCGGATAAGAGGAAGTCTACTGTAGGCTACAAATAAAATCATATAAAAGGAAAGGACCAAAGTTCAAGGAGATAAAAAAGAATCGTCAAACACTGATAGAAGACTTTTATGGCTATTTGTTTGCGGCGAGCTAGAACTCAAAGTGGCGATCTCTGCTATAAGCATCTTAGAAAATGAGATGAGATTTTCCTGAAATTACATAAATAGTCTTACACCTGTTTTTTGTCAAGTGTTTATATCTACATAATCATAACCAAGTGGATGCGATGCTACCTGGTGTGGATTAACGTCCGCACTAGTGAGTACTATGACTATCCGCAGTACTATCCTAATAATTAGACCAATTCGTTAATTACGAGGAAAAAATGTGGTTCGGATTCCACAATAAACTGTAGGTCCCTTAGTTGCCATTAGCTGTATGGGCTATTAATTAACAGCTGTGTCTAAGGAACATGTCGGCCTTAGTCACTAACAAGACTACAAGATCGTGCCACTCATCCTACACTCATCCTTCATTCATATTTGGGTTAAAATACGCACATAGTGGCGTCCCCATCTTAAATAATTGATAATTGATAATTGATAATCTTATCTTGCTAATATTATAAATGTAAAAGTTTGTTTGTTTGAAGCTCAATCACGCTTTAACTACTGGACGGATTGGGCTGAAATTTGGCATGATGATAGCTCACATTCCCGAGTAACATATAGACATATTCTTATCTCAAAAATACTTTCGTGCTCCGCCCCAGTGGCTCTGTAGCTCCCATGTTAACCTTATGAGTATTCATATTTAATGGGAATTAAAGAATTTAGTCAGCTGTTTCAACTAAAACAGTTGGTTCTATGATATGCAAAAGCATTAAAAAGTTATAAGATTTATCAACAGGGTGCAGCACTATTATTTTTTTTTGCATTTATGAAAACAGCTAATTTGAACAAAGCAGCAAAAAGAAAATGTGATACGCAATGGGAACTGTCAAAGTAAGATTTGTTAATGACTAGTTTCATACATATGTATGACCATTGATTAATCCTTAGATTTCTGTTGTATGGTTTATTTGTGAAGATAAATTATCACATGTTTTTAATATTGAAAAAATGAGTAAATAAATAGTAGTTGTTGAAATGTACTGAAATTGACTATTCTCTTATTTTTGACTTTGATAATTGACAATTTAATAAGATTGTTTACAGTTATGTTTAACCCTTTGAGTTCCAACGTCCGGGGAACCGGACGTTTTTAAAACGAGCCAAAAGTGCCGACGTCCGGCCGACCGGACGTTTTTAGAACGAGCCTAAAGTGCCAACGTCCGGCTGACCGGACGTTTCGTAATGATCGAACAGTTGTCATAACAACCGAATGGATACTCGGATTCTTTTAACCCATATATTAACATTGAGTCGAAAGTTACTAGATGCGATACATCGATTTTCGTTGGTCAAAATATCGAAAATTCGATTTTTACGAAATTTTAACCTAAAAATCGCCAGATCGCGCTCGGCATTTTTAGCGCGACCTTCGGGAAAAATCATCGGCATTTTTTGAGCGTTACTTTTATTTCTCGCCTGGCACTCTAAGGGTTAAAAAAATGTTTTAAATTTCATGAATGATTTGTGATATTTTGCGGATTTTTTATAATTTATTTTTCTCTATTGTTTAGGAGAGAAGTGGTATTTAAAACTTGAGTATAACTGCAATAAGCATTTTATACTTGATACCAACCCCGTACGAAGGACGAGTTCTCTGCTAGAATACATATAAAACTTATGTTCTGGTCCAAACATTAAAAAGTGGCTTACTATTTCTTGGCACTAGGCTTTTAATTGGAAAATAGTGAAATCCCTGGAGGTTTTTGAGAAGTGAAAAATGGTTGGTCTTTAAGATCTAACTTAAGTTAAACAGAACCACATCAGCCTAAGAAGAGGTAACTTAGGCAAACACACAATTTCCCTTATGGGCATTTTTAAGCTGGTAGGGAGTTTGATGAAAATACCTTTTCCCTAAGTTTTACAATTTTATTCCATGCCTTTCCTAAGTGCTAAGTAATTCTACTGGGGTTTCTAACATACACAGTAAACCCTAATTAGGTGAGCTCTGGGGGTACAGTTTCTTAACTGGGCTAAGCTTGTATCAGGTATATGGATTGAAAATATGATTCGATTAGTAAACCTTAATCCGATTTTTTTACTATATCTATTATGAAATGAAACTGATGTGACATAACCTAACTAGGCCTAACCAAACTTGCTGTTGATTGATTGATTGTGTGAGGGTGGACTCAAGGTCCAAGCACGTCAACCGAAGCTTATTGTGCATCCCACTTGCCACTAACTGGGTAAGCCTATACCTGTGTCCCTAACTAGGTGCAGGAGCTTTTGCCCAATGTTAGCGTCTGGTTCATCACCTGGCTGCTTTAGACCAAACAGAGCCCTTCTCCTAGCCCGTAGTCCATCGCAGTCCAGAATGATGTGTTTTGCAGTCTCATCGGACTGGTTACAAAGTCGACACTCCTGCTTGTCATTGTCAATTCCTAGAGTGTGGAGATGTTTCCTGAAATGGCCGTGTCCAGTGATAAGAGCAAGTACCTGCTTGACCTGCCCTCTCCCCAGCTTTAGCAGCCAGCGAGTGAAGGGGGTGCTAGGTTCTGAGAGCAGTTTTTTGCCAAGTGATTGTCCAGGATAATTACGCCAACGCTCAAGCTTGCTGTTAATGAAAGAATCGAATGAAGGTGTACTTAACCAAACTTGCTGATGGTGAAAAATTTGCATGAAGGTGCAGGACTTATATTAGATATAGGCCTAATTATAGTATACCCAAACTGGTTATTGTTCAGTTTCCAGAACTGAGTACAGTTTCTTAACTGGGCTACGCTAGTATCGATTGAAAATTACAATTTGATTAAGTACACCTTCATTCGATTCTTTCATTAACAGCAAGTTTGGTTAGGCCTAGTTAGGTTATGTCACATCAGTTTCATTTCACTTGTGTGAACCTGGCAATAACTCCAGCCATAAGTAGTGCGCGCGGCCAAAAAAATTTATTGCTGGCCGTTTTGCGGCAAAATACGTCCGCGAGCAATATTACCGATGATGCCAACAGATAGAGGACACTTTAACGGACACGACAGTATCAATATCATGTACCTGGGGGATAAGTTAAGGGGGGTAAAACCAGCAATAAGTTGTGCGCGCGCCCGAAAAAATCTATTGCTGGCCGTATTGCGGAGAAATACGTCCGCGAGCAATATTACCGATGATGCCAACAGATAGAGGACACTTTAACGGACACGACAGTATCAACATCATGTACCTGGAGGATAAAAAAAGGGGGGTAAAACCAGCAATAAGTAGTGCGCGCTCCCGATAAAATCTATTGCCGGCCGTATTGCGGAAAAATACGTCCGCGAGCAATATTACCGATGATGCCAACAGATAGAGGACACTTTAACGGACACGACAGTATCAACATCATGTACCTGGGGGATAAGTTTAGGGGGGTATAACCAGCAATAAGTTGTGCGCGCGCCCGAAAAAATCTATTGCTGGCCGTATTGCGGAGAAATACGTCCGCGAGCAATATTACCGATGATGCCAACAGATAGAGGACACTTTAACGGACACGACAGTATCAACATCATGTACCTGGGGGATAAGTTTAGGGGGGTATAACCAGCAATAAGTTGTGCGCGCGCCCGAAAAAATCTATTGCTGGCCGTATTGCGGAGAAATACGTCCGCGAGCAATATTACCGATGATGCCAACAGATAGAGGACACTTTAACGGACACGACAGTATCAACATCATGTACCTGGGGGATAAGTTTAGGGGGGTATAACCAGCAATAAGTAGTGCGCGCGCCGGATAAAATCTATTGCAGGCCGTATTGCGGAGAAATACGTCCGCGAGCAATATTACCGATGATGCCAACAGATAGAGGACACTTTAACGGACACGACAGTATCAACATCATGTACCTGGAGGATAAAAAAGGGGGGTAAAACCAGCAATAAGTAGTGCGCGCTCCCGATAAAATCTATTGCCGGCCGTATTGCGGAAAAATACGTCCGCGAGCAATATTACCGATGATGCCAACAGATAGAGGACACTTTAACGGACACGACAGTATCAACATCATGTACCTGGGGGATAAGTTTAGGGGGGTATAACCAGCAATAAGTTGTGCGCGCGCCCGAAAAAATCTATTGCTGGCCGTATTGCGGAGAAATACGTCCGCGAGCAATATTACCGATGATGCCAACAGATAGAGGACACTTTAACGGACACGACAGTATCAACATCATGTACCTGGAGGATAAAAAAGGGGGGTAAAACCAGCAATAAGTAGTGCGCGCTCCCGATAAAATCTATTGCCGGCCGTATTGCGGAAAAATACGTCCGCGAGCAATATTACCGATGATGCCAACAGATAGAGGACACTTTAACGGACACGACAGTATCAACATCATGTACCTGGAGGATAAAATAAGGGGGGTAAAACCAGCAATAAGTATGCGCGCGCCCGATAAAATCTATTGCCGGCCGTATTGCGGAAAAATACGTCCGCGAGCAATATTACCGATGATGCCAACAGATAGAGGACACTTTAACGGACGCGACAGTATCAACATCATGTACCTGGGGGATAAGTTTAGGGGGGTATAACCAGCAATAAGTTGTGCGCGCGCCCGAAAAAATCTATTGCTGGCCGTATTGCGGAGAAATACGTCCGCGAGCAATATTACCGATGATGCCAACAGATAGAGGACACTTTAACGGACACGACAGTATCAACATCATGTACAGGGGGATAAAAAAGGGGGGTAAAACCAGCAATAAGTAGTGCGCGCTCCCGATAAAATCTATTGCCGGCCGTATTGCGGAAAAATACGTCCGCGAGCAATATTACCGATGATGCCAACAGATAGAGGACACTTTAACGGACACGACAGTATCAACATCATGTACCTGGAGGATAAAATAAGGGGGGTAAAACCAGCAATAAGTATGCGCGCGCCCGATAAAATCTATTGCCGGCCGTATTGCGGAAAAATACGTCCGCGAGCAATATTACCGATGATGCCAACAGATAGAGGACACTTTAACGGACACGATAGTATCAACATCATGTACCTGGGGGATAAGTTTAGGGGGGTATAACCAGCAATAAGTTGTGCGCGCGCCCGAAAAAATCTATTGCTGGCCGTATTGCGGAGAAATACGTCCGCGAGCAATATTACCGATGATGCCAACAGATAGAGGACACTTTAACGGACACGACAGTATCAACATCATGTACCTGGAGGATAAAAAAGGGGGGTAAAACCAGCAATAAGTAGTGCGCGCTCCCGATAAAATCTATTGCCGGCCGTATTGCGGAAAAATACGTCCGCGAGCAATATTACCGATGATGTCAACAGATAGAGGACACTTTAACGGACACGACAGTATCAATATCATGTACCTTAGGGATAAGTAAAGGGGGGTATAACCAGCAATAAGTATTGCAATAAGTAGCGGCTAAGCGACTACATAGAACATAGCTACTGTGCACTGGTTCTAGTATAACAGACAATGATTAATGGTTAGTGCAGCAATGGTATAGCAATTGTTAGTACAGTTCTGAAATACAAACAAATGAAAGCGTGTTAGTTAGTAAAGAAGCCAGCAAAAAATTACAATCACTCTAATAAATCAACTATTTTCTTTTACTCCCATAAATCAAATATCTCACAGCTGAATTGCTGCTACAGTAACTATCTGTTACCCACGGGCTCCACCCCTGTTACTACAATAGTATTAATAAAACTATTGATTGGTTATAAGTTAAGATGAAATAAACAAAACAGAATACAGTAATGGTAATGCAAACAAATAATAACAGCTGAGGTATTTTTAACATTAGGTAAATGGAAAGTTCCCTTTGGAAAGCAATTACGACCTTATAGGGCAGTTTATGAAATAATGAATAATTTTGCGCAAGGTTTCTCGTCATGACGAACATTTTAAGTATATGGTTTATGGGGGTGTGACTTGTAGTTTTCTCAAAAGTTCATGGGTACTTTTGACTTTATACATAGACTAGCAGAGTACCCGTCCTTCGTACGGGGTTGGCATATAAGTATCAAATGCTTATAGCAGTTGTGAGTGAGGACATGGTTTAAGAAATTTCGGTTCTTTTTGAAGTTCGTTCGCTACGCTCACTCACCTTTAGGTTGGAGCTCGTTCGCTGCGCTCACTTTCCTTCAGGTTAGCTCGTTCGCTACGCTCACTTGCCTTCAGGTTAGCTCGTTCACTACGCTCACTCGCCTCCAGGTTGAAGTTCGTTCGCTACGCTCACTCACCTTTTGCTGTTGTCATAAACGTAAAAGAAATAATAGTGCTAGTGCTGCACCCTGTTGGTAATCCTTGTAACTTTAATGCTATTGAACATCACAGAACAGAACCAACTTGTTTAATTGAAACAGCTGTTAAGATTCAATAATTTCATTTCTCATAAGGTTAACATGGGAAACTCCAGAGCCACTGGGGCGGAGCCCGAAAGGATTTTTGGGATAATAAGAAGTAAGGTCATGAACAACTGTCTAATAAAAGATGAAAAGTACTATGTACCACACAATGACATAGGTAATTACCTGTTGTGCTCTATTCCAACACCCTCTGGTGATCATTTTGAGGTTTCCATAGATGACATAAACTTACTTCGAAGCAATGGATGGCTCAACACGGATATAATATCTGCCATCGGTTATGTATTTCAAAAAGATAACAAATGGAAAAAGATAATAAAAGGAAACAAATGTGCTATTTATCATGACAACATTGGGACATCTGCGATCCAGCATGGAGAACAAATTGATAAAAATAATTTTCTTCTTCGAAACAGTATAGTTACCATGGACACTGAAAAACTGTTTTTTCCAGTAAACATAGATAACTGTCACTGGGTACTCGTCTATGCAAACGTGGTAGAAAGAACATTTGTCTATATGGATCCGCTTAACAATGTGCAAACTTCGACTAGACACAGATTATACCATAACTTTCTAGAGTTCTGGTCACATTTGACTTGTACGACATCGAATGAGTTAGCAAAGTCATGGAATATAGCATCAGTTTTTCATCCTACACAAACAGACAATCACAACTGTGGTATCTTTGTTATGTACTTTATTGAACAACTAATGAAAGGTAACACAGTTGATCCATTTTTTGATCCACAATCCTATAGAACGTACTGTTTTACAATGTTGTTAGCACACTCAAATGACATGGCTAACTACTGCCTCCAGTGTAAATATAGATTTCCTTCTTGTACAACATCTGAACTAGGTAATATTGCTCGCGGACGTATTTCTGCGCAATACGGCCAGCAATAGATTTCATCGGGCGCGCGCACAACTTATTGCTGGTTATACCCCCCTAAACTTATCCCCCAGGTACATGATGTTGATACTGTCGTGTCCGTTAAAGTGTCCTCTATCTGTTGGCATCATCGGTAATATTGCTCGCGGACGTATTTTTCCGCAATACGGCCTGCAATAGATTTTATCCGGCGCGCGCACTACTTATTGCTGGTTATACCCCCCTAAACTTATCCCCCAGGTACATGATGTTGATACTGTCGTGTCCGTTAAAGTGTCCTCTATCTGTTGGCATCATCGGTAATATTGCTCGCGGACGTATTTTTCCGCAATACGGCCGGCAATAGATTTTATCGGGCGCGCGCACTACTTATTGCTGGTTATACCCCCCTAAACTTATCCCCCAGGTACATGATGTTGATACTGTCGTGTCCGTTAAAGTGTCCTCTATCTGTTGGCATCATCGGTAATATTGCTCGCGGACGTATTTTTCCGCAATACGGCCGGCAATAGATTTTATCGCGTGCGCTCACTACTTATTGCTGGTTATACCCCCCTTATTTTATCCTCCAGGTACATGATGTTGATACTGTTGTGTCCGTTCAAGTGTCCTCTATGTGTTGGCATCATCGGTAATATTGCTCGCGGACGTATTTCTCCGCAATACGGCCTGCAATAGATTTTATCCGGCGCGCGCACTACTTATTGCTGGTTATACCCCCCTAAACTTATCCCCCAGGTACATGATGTTGATACTGTCGTGTCCGTTAAAGTGTCCTCTATCTGTTGGCATCATCGGTAATATTGCTCGCGGACGTATTTTTCCGCAATACGGCCTGCAATAGATTTTATCCGGCGCGCGCACTACTTATTGCTGGTTATACCCCCCTAAACTTATCCCCCAGGTACATGATGTTGATACTGTCGTGTCCGTTAAAGTGTCCTCTATCTGTTGGCATCATCGGTAATATTGCTCGCGGACGTATTTTTCCGCAATACGGCCGGCAATAGATTTTATCGGGCGCGCGCACTACTTATTGCTGGTTATACCCCCCTAAACTTATCCCCCAGGTACATGATGTTGATACTGTCGTGTCCGTTAAAGTGTCCTCTATCTGTTGGCATCATCGGTAATATTGCTCGCGGACGTATTTTTCCGCAATACGGCCGGCAATAGATTTGATCGGGAGCGCGCACTACTTATTGCTGGTTTTACCCCCCTTTTTTTATCCTCCAGGTACATGATGTTGATACTGTCGTGTCCGTTAAAGTGTCCTCTATCTGTTGGCATCATCGGTAATATTGCTCGCGGACGTATTTCTCCGCAATACGGCCAGCAATAGATTTTTTCGGGCGCGCGCACAACTTATTGCTGGTTTTACCCCCCTTAACTTATCCCCCAGGTACATGATATTGATACTGTCGTGTCCGTTAAAGTGTCCTCTATCTGTTGGCATCATCGGTAATATTGCTCGCGGACGTATTTTGCCGCAAAACGGCCAGCAATAAATTTTTTTGGCCGCGCGCACTACTTATGGCTGGAGTTATTGCCAGGTTCACACCAATTTTCATTTCATAATAGATATTATAGTAAAAAAATCGGATTAAAAATAACGATTAATCAATATTTTGAATTCGGTAGTTTCAATCGATATTAGCATAGCCCAGTTAAGAAACTGTACCCTTATATTTTTACCTGAGACACTAGCACTTGTAACTTTTTGAATAACAACTTTCATTTTGAAGTAGACTAACTTTAACGATAATTTTAGATTCGAAACTCATAAATTATCACTAAGGCTAGTTTATGATGCATAGGGCCTATTACCAATTTTCAAATTATTTATGGTCAACTTAAATTAAAATAAAATGATTGTTTTATGGTTGTTTACATTTTCTATTTTCTGTCATGAATTAGAGGTTAAGATTTTGTTTATTGTTGTCCTCACCCCAAAGGGCGGTGGGACACACGGGAGGGACTAAGGCTAACATATCTTGTAGTGTCAGCGTTCACCGCTAGAACTGATAAGTTGAAATAATTTTTTTTTTTTAATTTTTAGTTATAAAATTAACTTTTTAATTATAAAATATTGTTTCAAATTATAAAATAAATTTTTATTTGTTTAAATTAAACTGTCATAACATAACCTAACCAACCAGACTTGCTGATAATATAAAAACTATATAAGATAAAAATCTAATTAATAATTAAATAAAATTAATTTTAAAATTTAGTATTATAAAATTAAACTGTCATAACCTAACCTAACCAACCAAACTTGCTGATATGAAAAATTTGTTGACAAATAGTTAGTGCTGCCAGCGGGATTCGTACCCGGGACCTCCTGAACACTAATCCGAAACGTTACCAACTATGCCACGAACGCCGCTGAAATCACATCGTTTCGTTACGGTAATCGTGTCGCCTCAAGAGAAGACATTAGCCACTAAAGATATGACGTCACTACACCTTTAGCCTTAGTCCCTTCCGTGTGCCCATTACCCCAAAGGGGATTTACTCAAGGGAGGTACAGAAGAGGATTCGATGACGTCAGCTGTCAGAAAAAAAGTTGTTGACGTAATCGATTCCGATTGAGCGATCTGTTGAAGGTGGAATATCGTACTCGTACTAAGTTTATCACTATCGTATCGTTTCGACTTTCGTTATTGTATGGCTGTCGGCTGCCGTTTGTTTATGTTTATGTGCTTTCCTCATCACTCTCCTCCTTCACTTCAACTAAGTTACTAAGTTTAAGTTTACTATTTATTTATAGGCCTACATACAGTTTAAAGTTAAAGGTAAGTAATTATTCCTAATTAACTTTTGAGGTATTAATAATTAGGCTTAAGTTATGGCTATTTTTAATTTGTATTATGGACCACATGATAGTCCAAACCCAGAAAAACCTAATCTTAACCTGATTTGCTTAGTTAATATAGGCATAGGCTAGTCATTGATTTGTGTTTGTAAAAGTCAGGCCCAGAGTAGGATGACCAGGTTGTTTCAGAATAAAAACAGGACATTCAAAACAAATCTCGGCCTCCCCCGTAACTTACAACACACACCTGAGTGTCTAATTAAATTACACAGAGGGTCTCTTATTTGCTAATTTTGTTGAGGTAGAAATCAAGTACGTTTAGGCCCTTTTATCAACCTGTTTGTAAGCTTTTAGACCAGTAAACTTACCTAATCTTATTTTCCATTAAAACTTATTTACACATCACACGATTGTCATAGTTGTTTTAAAAATACATTAATGGCATGCAGCTAGGGGCTAGGCAAGGTAAATACTTTTGTGAATCACCACATAGGCCAACTGAGAATAAAATAATCCAACAAAATTTTTAAGGGTTTTAGATCTTAGGGTACAGTTTCTTAACTGGGCTATGCTAATATCGATTGAAACTATCAATTCGATTAGCAAACTTTCATGCGATTTTTTCACCATTGTCACCATTGTTCATGTAAAACACGGAGTTCCCCAGGGCTCCATACTGGGGCCACTTCTTTTCATTGTATCAATTAATGACTTGTACCACAGAGTTGGGGATGGTGTCCTGCTCTTTGCAGATGACACAACACTTGTATCTAGTAACACCAGTTGGCAGGCCTCAGCTGTAACTTCAACAAGAGAATTGTTTAGTAATGCTTCTCAATGGTTTATTGATAATAAGCTCTCACTCAATAATTCTAAGACCCAGGAAATAGTTTTTAGTCTTTGCAACAGTTCTGAAATCAGTGAACCAGTAAAGTTGTTAGGGTTCACAATTGACCCCAAATTGTCTTGGGACGCTCATATTGATCAACTATGTAGTAAGCTTAGTAGAGTTATATGTTTGTTAAGGAGGCTTGCTACTGAGCTTCCAAACAGCTTTGTACGACAGGCTTTCTTTGCCTTCTTTCAAAGCCATGTCACTTACGGAATCATCTTATGGGGACATTGTCCAAGTGTAAGTAAAATTTTATTGCTGCAGAAGGAAGCAATTAGAGTCATTTCAGGTGCTGGTTGGCTTGATCATGGCAGGCCTCTTTTCATAGAAAAAGGGGTCCTAACTGTATATAGTCTATACATATTTCATTGTGTTGTTGCCATAAAGGAAAGAAATGGTTTATTTACATCCGTTGGTGAGGTTCATGAGCATAATACAAGGTCAAATAGAAATTTGTTCTATCCCAGAACTAGGCTTGAAAAAACTTTGAAATCTTTTCCTGTTTCAGGTATACGTTTTTTTAACAAGCTGCCTGTCACCGTCAGAAACCTTCCCCTTCCAAGATTCACTCAGGTCATGAAGTCTTGGCTCATTCTACATCCTTTTTACCACACTAACGAATTTTACAACACCAACCTCAACACCTCTTCTGCCCTATTAAACCCCTAACTGCTGTACCTTCCATCCGGACCAAATCAGGTTTCATATTTATATTTTTCTTATTTATATTTTTCCAAAGCAGGTGTCTTATTTATATTGTTTGTCATTCTTATGTACGTTTGTTAAGCACTTGCATGTGATTTGTGATTTGCACTGTTCTAGATATAAGCATGACGAAGCCTATTGTATTTTGTAAATATTTAACGGTAAATAAATCTTTGAATCTTTGAACCATCATTCGTATTGCGGAAAAATACGTCCGCGAGCAATATTACCGATGATGCCAACAGATAGAGGACACTTTAACGGACACGACAGTATCAACATCATGTACCTGGGGGATAAGTTTAGGGGGGTATAACCAGCAATAAGTTGTGCGCGCGCCCGATGAAATCTATTGCTGGCCGTATTGCGCAGAAATACGTCCGCGAGCAATATTACCTAGTTCAGATGTTGTACAAGAAGGAAATCTATATTTACACTGGAGGCAGTAGTTAGCCATGTCATTTGAGTGTGCTAACAACATTGTAAAACAGTACGTTCTATAGGATTGTGGATCAAAAAATGGATCAACTGTGTTACCTTTCATTAGTTGTTCAATAAAGTACATAACAAAGATACCACAGTTGTGATTGTCTGTTTGTGTAGGATGAAAAACTGATGCTATATTCCATGACTTTGCTAACTCATTCGATGTCGTACAAGTCAAATGTGACCAGAACTCTAGAAAGTTATGGTATAATCTGTGTCTAGTCGAAGTTTGCACATTGTTAAGCGGATCCATATAGACAAATGTTCTTTCTACCACGTTTGCATAGACGAGTACCCAGTGACAGTTATCTATGTTTACTGGAAAAAACAGTTTTTCAGTGTCCATGGTAACTATACTGTTTCGAAGAAGAAAATTATTTTTATCAATTTGTTCTCCATGCTGGATCGCAGATGTCCCAATGTTGTCATGATAAATAGCACATTTGTTTCCTTTTATTATCTTTTTCCATTTGTTATCTTTTTGAAATACATAACCGATGGCAGATATTATATCCGTGTTGAGCCATCCATTGCTTCGAAGTAAGTTTATGTCATCTATGGAAACCTCAAAATGATCACCAGAGGGTGTTGGAATAGAGCACAACAGGTAATTACCTATGTCATTGTGTGGTACATAGTACTTTTCATCTTTTATTAGACAGTTGTTCATGACCTTACTTCTTATTATCCCAAAAATCCTTTCGGGCTCCGCCCCAGTGGCTCTGGAGTTTCCCATGTTAACCTTATGAGAAATGAAATTATTGAATCTTAACAGCTGTTTCAATTAAACAAGTTGGTTCTGTTCTGTGATGTTCAATAGCATTAAAGTTACAAGGATTACCAACAGGGTGCAGCACTAGCACTATTATTTCTTTTACGTTTATGACAACAGCAAAAGGTGAGTGAGCGTAGCGAACGAACTTCAACCTGGAGGCGAGTGAGCGTAGTGAACGAGCTAACCTGAAGGCAAGTGAGCGTAGCGAACGAGCTAACCTGAAGGAAAGTGAGCGCAGCGAACGAGCTCCAACCTAAAGGTGAGTGAGCGTAGCGAACGAACTTCAAAAAGAACCGAAATTTCTTAAACCATGTCCTCACTCACAACTGCTATAAGCATTTGATACTTATATGCCAACCCCGTACGAAGGACGGGTACTCTGCTAGTCTATGTATAAAGTCAAAAGTACCCATGAACTTTTGAGAAAACTACAAGTCACACCCCCATAAACCATATACTTAAAATGTTCGTCATGACGAGAAACCTTGCGCAAAATTATTCATTATTTCATAAACTGCCCTATAAGGTCGTAATTGCTTTCCAAAGGGAACTTTCCATTTACCTAATGTTAAAAATACCTCAGCTGTTATTATTTGTTTGCATTACCATTACTGTATTCTGTTTTGTTTATTTCATCTTAACTTATAACCAATCAATAGTTTTATTAATACTATTGTAGTAACAGGGGTGGAGCCCGTGGGTAACAGATAGTTACTGTAGCAGCAATTCAGCTGTGAGATATTTGATTTATGGGAGTAAAAGAAAATAGTTGATTTATTAGAGTGATTGTAATTTTTTGCTGGCTTCTTTACTAACTAACACGCTTTCATTTGTTTGTATTTCAGAACTGTACTAACAATTGCTATACCATTGCTGCACTAACCATTAATCATTGTCTGTTATACTAGAACCAGTGCACAGTAGCTATGTTCTATGTAGTCGCTTAGCCGCTACTTATTGCAATACTTATTGCTGGTTATACCCCCCTTTACTTATCCCTAAGGTACATGATATTGATACTGTCGTGTCCGTTAAAGTGTCCTCTATCTGTTGACATCATCGGTAATATTGCTCGCGGACGTATTTTTCCGCAATACGGCCGGCAATAGATTTTATCGGGAGCGCGCACTACTTATTGCTGGTTATACCCCCCTAAACTTATCCCCCAGGTACATGATGTTGATACTGTCGTGTCCGTTAAAGTGTCCTCTATCTGTTGGCATCATCGGTAATATTGCTCGCGG